TTTGATATTTCAATATGTGTAATGTTTTTCGCTTTTTCTTTGTTTTTTTTATATTAATATTGGCTTTCAGGCTTTCGCGGCTGTTGTCTTCTCTAGTCTTCTAATCATTATCTCATCATTAATATTGTCAATTTTAACCCAGTTTTATTGTTTTTTGCATATATTCGTTTTTTACTTCGGTTAAACTTCGAAAAAATTTTTTTTATTTTCGCTCGAAGATCGCTCCAAACTTCAATCACATATTTTATTATCATGTATGTACTTTATCCATAATATGTATGTATATTACCTTTTATTATTCTCTGTCGTTTATGATCCTCTCCTTAATTTTTTAATCTTTTACCTTAACTCTACTCCAAGTAAGTCTCTCAACAATATTTTAGCATCCACACGCATTTGTGGATAACGCTGCAGAAATACAATTAAAATCGCGCGATTGAACCCTTACGGAAAACCAACGAAATAATCCGTTACTTTTTCGTACGGAGAAACTGCTCCTCTGCTCCTCGGCAACCAACTAACTCTGGTTGCCAAGCAACGGTTGGCAAGTAACGTGTTATAACAGAAATTGTTCGCGCGATTCTGCAATAGCGTTTCTACAGCGTTATCCACGACTGCGTTCGGATGCAATATATTTGCTTTGAGGAATTTACTTGGAGAGAAATCTAGGAAAAGGACATAACAGCAGAGGATAAAAGGTAACGGTATTATTATTACAATAAGTTTTAATTACTCGCATGAAATCTACGAGACTCCAGTTAATAAAGACGTTAGCAACCGGAGTCGGCTCAAAGAAAAGTATCCGAAATGAGAGAGAGGCAGAGAGAGAGAGAGAGAGAGAGAGAGAGAGAGAGAGAGAGAGAGAGAGAGAGAGAGAGAGGGAGAGTAAATTTAACAATTTATAAAAATTGCTTATATTACTCTTATTATCAGAGACCAGATCGCGGTGCCGTTTTCCCCCACTCCAAGTGCATGCTAGCAGCCGAGCGCCGTGAAAAGCACCGCGCCAGTGTAGCGGTAGCAAAGGGGGCATCGTGTTATAGTGTACAAAAATAGTCATATAATAGAATTGGATGGATTTGTAACATTGTGTCATGAAATAGTGACTTAAATTGTTAAATTTAAAATTGTCCGTCTATTAATACTGCTTCATTGCGTGAAGAAAAATATTCCATATCAGATAAGACGATAGGTGCGTATGTTGAAAGGGCTAAATGTTCCGATTTTAATATAAATTTCCAAAAGTGGATAGCCAGATGTGCTATTCAGATGTGGAATGATCTTTTTCATGCTATAAAGCAGTAGTAACAGTTAGAGTAACGCCATAATTTTAAATTTAACAATTTAAGTTACTATTTCATTACACACTGTTACAAATTTGACAAATAATTCTATTATATGAATATTTTTGTACAGTACGCAACGGTGTCCCCGCAACGTTGTTACCGCTACACTGCACTGGTGCGGTGTAGACGATACTGCTTCTTACGGTGCTCGGCTACTAACTTGACTGCACTTGAGTGGGGGAAAACAGCACGCAATCCGGTCTCGGTTTATTACCGTTATTACTCTTATTAATATTTAATTATAGTCTTTAAAATTTTGCTCACTGTATTTTGTGTAATAATATGTAGTGATTTATACGTTTTAACTTGGCACTCTCAGGCTGGATTCACATGGAGCGTAAGTTGCGTAGCGTAACCTGTGTATCGCCAATTACAGGACTAGTTCAACGGAATTACTGAAACGGTTCTATCAGCAAGACCCTGTGATTGATGATACGCAGGTTACGCTACGCAACTTACGCTCCATGTGAAAGCACCCTCAGGGTGCAAACTCATAGAGCGGAACGGTGTACGCAGAAAATTACAGAACGGAAGCCTTGACCAATCACGAGTGTTCCGATGTTTTCGTGATTGGTCGAAGCTGTCGTTCCGCGATTTTCTGCGTACACCGTTCCGCTCTATAGGTGCAATTTCATTGACGCTAGAAACCAGCGTCAAATGATGTCTAGTGACTTTTCGACGTAGTGGGAGAAAAGTTGAGGCCGTCTCAACTTTTTCAGTGTGCCGCAAGATACGACGTAAAATGGACAACGAAAATGATGTAAGTAACACACTAATATTACATGGTATATATAATGGAATATTTTAATCATTCTTGTATAATGCATAAAATACTGCTTTTTGGGATGTTAATAAATTATGACGATTTCACATTTTTGAGGTTAGTTGGATAAATATTTGCAAATATATGAGTGATTGAAATAACTTTCGTAGGATAGCTGTTTGGATTATATTAGATATGTTAAATAGTTAATAATAATTTTTTTAGGAAATGGCAACGTTGCAGACATGCGGAGTTTGTGGAACACTTTGCAATGTTGACGAAGTGTCAGACCACGTATGTCTGAAGGGATACGGGTGTTATATCAATAAGGCGGAACGCTATTTTTATCCACTTTTAGGTATACATTTTATCTTCTATAAGTGTATTTTATTATATCCTAGGTATATTCCACTAAAATAATTTTTTGTAGATGATGGAAGGACGTATCTGTGCCGTGTTTACATTGATGGCATAGAGAAAGTAGTTCAGACCAACATTGATACAACCTTTAACCAGAATATACGTAAGTTACGATTTGTTGGTACAATAAAGCCTAGTGCAGACTGCACGCAGCAAGCGGTAAGCGTCGAGCAGCGAGTATCCAACACTGCTGAATTTTGCGGAAGCGTCAGCAGTGGCGTAGAAAATATCTCTTTGTTGATTGGCTGCTGCTCGACGCTTGCTGCTTGCTGCGTGCAGTCTGCACTAGGCTTAATAAGCTCTCCTGCTCCTTTACAATAGAATCGAATTTTTTGATCACTTAATTTTAGCCGTGGCAGGAACTTGCCAATTGGCGATCTCGAACTGCAGTGAATATGAAAAAAGTGTCAAGAATGTTGGCAGAAAAAAATTGGCAGTTTCTTCCAAAAGAAAGGTTTCGAAGAAATTATCGCCAGAAGAGGAAGAGAATTTAATTTTAGCCGTCCAAAACAGAAGGCCACTGTGGGACATCAGGCAGCTGGTGGACCAGAGATCCCGGGAAACCCGGAAACAACTCTGGGAAGAAGTTGCTGTTGAATTGAATGGTAAATAAAGAAATATATAATACAGTTGAATTAGTTGTATATGATAAAATCTTATTTTTCTAGGAGTACTCGACGCAGCTGCTGTACAGCAAAAATTTAAGTCATTACGCGATACATATCGCAAAATTGTGCAATCAGAGCAATACCTTCCGAGTGGATCTGGAAGAAACGAAAATGATGACAGTCACAAGTGGAAGCACTATAACATTATGGAGTTTCTTCGTGATACTTGTCTATCGAAGGAGTAAGTAACAGATTTGGGTTCTTATTATACA